CTTTGAAGGGTTGAGTGCGAGTCAAGGCCGAGTCCGTTGGTTTTCAAATACAGTCGAGTCCGAGTCAAGACCGAGTCTTTGAAGGGTCAAGTCTGAGTCGAGACCGAGTCCGTTGGTGTCACGGTTCTGTCACTACATTTCTGGTTATTCTTGGTTTTGTAACAGAGCTGTGACATGCCTGGTCTTGTGTTTATGTTATGTCTTTGGGAACGCCAGGTGGCGTTCCTTTAACCAGAAATGTAGTGACAGAACCGTGACACTACCTCCCCTCAAAGGAACGCCACCTGGCGTTCCCAAAGAGAGACATAAAACGAGACAGGAACACAGACACAACCCAACTCCCCAAATAAACCAATAACGAGGTAACAAGATGGGAGGGGCTAGAACATTAACAAGAGCACATGGCACACAGAAATCACATGATGCCCATGTGCTCACAACCATCAAGACCATAACATAAACACAAGACCAGGCATGTCACAGCTCTGTCACAAAACCAAGAATAACCAGAAATGTAGTGACAGAACCGTGACAGTTGGTTTTCAAATACTGTCAAGTCCGAGTCAAGACCGAGTCTTTGAAGGGTCGAGTCCGAGTCAAGGCCGAGTCCGTTGGTTTTCAAATACAGTCGAGTCCGAGTCAAGACCGAGTCTATGAAGGGTCGAGTCCGAGTCAAGGCCGAGTTCTTCGGTTTTCAAATACAGTCGAGTCCGAGTCAAGACCGAGTCTTTGAAGGGTCAAGTCTGAGTCGAGACCGAGTCCGTTGGTTTTCAAATACAGTCGAGTCCGAGTCAAGACCGAGTCTTTGAAGGGTCGAGTCCGAGTCGAGACCGAGTCCGTTGGATTTCAAATACAGTCGAGTCAGAGTCAAGACCGAGTCTTTGAAGGGTCGAGTCCGAGTCGAGACCGAGTCCGTTGGTTTTCAAATACTGTCGAGTCCGAGTCAAGACCGAGTCTTTGAAGGGTCGGTTCTGAGTCGAGACCGAGTCCGTTGGTTTTCAAATACAGTCAAGTCCAAGTCAAGACCGAGTCTTTGAAGAGTTGAGTCAGAGTCGAGATCGAGTCCGTTGGTTTTCAAATACAGTCGTGTCCGAGTCAAGACCGAATCTTTGAAGGGTCGAGTCCGAGTCAAGGCCGAGTCCGTTGGTTTTCAAATACAGTCGTGTCCGAGTCAAGACCGAATCTTTGAAGGGTCGAGTCCGAGTCAAGGCCGAGTCCGTTGGTTTTCAAATACAGTCGAGTCCGAGTCAAGACCGAGTCTTTGAAGGGTCGAGTCCGAGTCAAGGCCGAGTTCTTTGGTTTTCAAATACAGTCAAGTCCGAGTCAAGACCGAGTCTTTGAAGGGTCGAGACCGAGTCCGTTGGTTTTCAAATACAGTCAAGTCCGAGTCAAGACCGAGTCTTTGAAGGGTTGAGTCAGAGTCGAGATCGAGTCCGTTGGTTTTCAAATACAGTCGAGTCCGAGTCAAGACCGAGTCTTTGAAGGGTCGAGTCCGAGTCGAGACCGAGTCCGTTGGTTTTCAAATACAGTCGAGTCCTAGTCAAGACCGAGTGTTTGAAGGGTCGAGTTCGAGTCGAGACCGAGTCCGTTGGTTTTCAAATACAGTCGAGTCCGAGTCAAGACCGAGTCTTTGAGGAAGCAAGTCCAAGTCGATATTTTTTTCCCGACATATCGGGACTATATATATACTATATATTAAGTGAACTGCAGTCGGCAACTTATTGCTTGTGCACACAAATGCACACTTAACATATAAGAGACTACCTGTGATTTAATGCCCCAATATACTCAAGGCAAAGTATGTTCTCGTTATTTGATTAGAAATAGAAATAATTTGGAAATTCCTTTGCAGCAATATACTGTTAATGAACAACCTGTCGCTGTCTACACTGCTGAGACCGACGTTTAGATATGTAAATATGTGCTGCACATTTTCCTCTCAGTAACAAAATAAACACAACATAAATGACAGCGGTGACACTGGCATCATGGCGACAGATATGGTAATTAAATTACACTGTTATGACAGTTTGATTATAAAGTATATCTGAGAATATAGACTGTATATATAGACTGTAGTTTCTCTCTGCATGACACATTGACATTGAACAGAATGGCTCTTCTGCATTTTTGGCTCTTCTGATCTTTCTATAAGAATTAATTTCATGTGTCACGCAGAAGAGAGAGCGCGTAAACGTCACATATTTTTTTTTTTTCCCGGCAAAATCTGAGTCCTTCACATACAAATCAGTCAATCAGGCTTTCATAGATAACCTAGGAAGTTGGGCAAGGTCTCATTTTATAATTTTCATTGCAAGCTGTTCTCACATTGGCAATAAAAAAGCAATACATGAATGGTCTTCCATATAGCCCCTTTAAATATTGCACACTAGGCAAACTTCTCAAATCGCTGACCCGATTTCGATTTCCTCTATCCCATCCGTGTGCCTTTGTTGTGCCTTATCGCCTTATCTACAACATGATCTGTGTTTTACTGCAGCTCATCAAGTAATGACATTCAGAGGCCATTATAAAACTAGTAATGGAAAAATGACACACAGTCATTTGAATTATTGAGTCTCTCCGATAGCAGAAATGCCAGTCCTATAGAAAGACATATTCGCTGCATACTTCATACAGACATTGGCCTTCATTTGTCTCGATTATGAGCCAGATGAAGGGGGAGTATGGGAATGTTTCCGCTCGTCACATTCTCCATTATTCAGACCGAGTGATTGTGTCTTAATTGACTGCATTTCTTTTTAATAGCATGAATAGAGATATTAAAGAGCTCAACTGCCTACATCCTTCACAATGCCCTGTCCCTCACACCCGTCATAACACCAACGAGCACTCGTCCTTCGATTAGCGATGCCTCCCTTAGCGAGTGTGCTGATGGGCAATATGACATTCACTTACACCAGCTAAATCAATGGTGTTTATCTGCTCTTTAGAAACAGCCAATAATCAGATGAGGTGGAAAGAGGGGGTAGCGTTAGCATTAGCATTAGCATTAGCCAAGAGGATCTTGCAAACACTCTTTATTTTTGCGGCTGTGCTGATTTCTCGGATGCCTCAGACTGACAGAAGAGCTGTCAGCAAAAGAGCTGAAATATTATTATTTTTGATTATTTTTGGATTATTAACAGGATTATGACACAAGGATTGGGGCTTGATCACATATCCCATTCAAACATCAGAATAATAGGAAATAGGGACCTTTTTTATGAGAGGACCGTTCAAAGAAATAATGATTCGGGGGAAAACAATATGGCTTTGCCTTATCTTGCCATCTGTTTGTTTGTGTTGACACATTTCACAGGGTAAGGAGGACAAACATGTCTCTGTCATTTCAGTTAGAGGCTGGATTTCAAGGGATTTTCTTCCAATCAAACGGAGCTAAAGGCTAAAGCGAAGGAGTGCAGATGGTGCAAGCAATCAGGACCACAGATGGCTCTCACTACAAGTGGTCATTTCATATGAAATGGAGAAAGCTGCCTGTATATATTGCCTCTAGAGAAATATAACAAAACTAAATGTAAAACATATTGATAGTTGCCTGAACTTGCTGTATAGGAATTATACCTTTATTTTGGGGAAGGCCAAAATAAACTGTCATGTACAATTCATCCATGTATGCGTTTAATTTAAAAAGAGAGAAAGAAAATGGCCTTGTAAGTTTTATTCGAAATGTCATAACTATATACTTTTGCCTTTACATTTGAGTACCTTGAAAGTAACCCCTCCACCCGGGTCCTACTCGACCCGCTGTCCATTCATAACCAAGACAAGTCCATTCATAACCAACACAACTCCATTCATAACCAAGACAAGTCCATTCATAACCAAGACAAGTCCAGTCATAACCAAAACAAATCCATTCATAACCAACACAAGTAGGGCTGCAGCTATTGATTCTTTTTGTAATCGATTAATCTAGCACTTAATCGACCGATTAATCGAGTAATCGGATAATTTGTTTATGTGTGTATAATCTAACACACACATAAATAATCTAATAATCTGAGCGGGCCTCGAACCCGGGTTTCTGGCGTGAGAGTAAAGACTACAGAGTCTAGCGTATGTCGCTAGAACGCCTATTGAGATCAGAGGAGTGAGGTTTACTTGCACAGCAACTACTGAGCTGGCCTCCGTTACACTCACCCCCCTAAACCTCACTCTCATCCGGGTCACGGCACCAATGTAACCCGGGTCCTACTCGACCCGCTCCGAGCGGGCCTCGAACCTGGGCCTATTGAGATCAGAGGAGTGAGGTTTACTTGCACAGCAACTACTGAGCTGGCCTCTATTACACTCACCCCCCTAAACCTCACTCTCATCCGGGTCACGGCACCAATGTAACCCGGGTCCTACTCGACCCGCTCCGAGCGGGCCTCGAACCTGGGCCTATTGAGATCAGATGAGTGAGGTTTACTTGCACAGCAACTACTAGCTGGCCTCCGTTACACTCACTCCCCTAAACCTCACTCACATCCGGGTCACGGCACCAATGTGACCCCTCCACTCGGGTCCTACTCGACCCGCTCCGAGCGGGCCTCAAACAAGGGTCTCCTGCATGAGAGTCGGGCACTCTGACAAGGAGGCTAAAGACTGCAGCCTCTAGTATATCTGTTACATATATCAAAATACAGCAGACATTATCTGACGCTATTCTGGTTATTATAACCAGAAGCAGAAGGGGACATGATTGTTTCACTTAGTTTTGTCGAGGCCACAAGATTTTAATTTGTGGAAATGTAATATTAACCTGTGGGAACGTGATACTATGTCATGGTCTTGAAATCACATACTTATGTTGCGGTCATGAGATTGAAGTTGTGGCCTCGAGATACATATTCAATGTGAAAAGTTATACAAAGTGACCAAAATCTGACCAATTTTATTGCTGTGGTAGACTATGCATTTCTTAGCTACCTTTGATGTGGCAAATCATATACGTTTCACTGCATCATGATTAGGACACATCCCTCAATCCTTACCTTATTGTACATGGCTCCATTCAGCACCTCCCCATTTCGGATCCAGATGATTGAGGCGGCGGGTTTGGCATTGTCTGCGTGACATGTCAGATTGAGGGGGTCGCCCGCTCTCAGGCTCACCACAGGCCCTCCGGTGATGACTGGGTCTTCAGGTGGAACTACACGAGAAGGAAAAGGAAAATAATGTTGGGAAATCTGCCAAGATACCAGGTACGCACTCAACATTTTGAGATTTCGACATGAACTACAACGTGAACCCCTGAGCTGTAAGATTATCTTCTGGGAAACACTAAACTTACACAACATATAAAGGTTAGTAAGTCACTTCCAGTGCCTGCAAATTAATTGCAACCTATAGACTCATTGAAAAACATGCCTCTACCTGAAGGTAGTGTCTACCTGAAATAAACACAAGAAGCAGTTTATTGCTTTTCACACAAATTATGATTACGGTGCTGATTATCAATTAACGAAGACTCATTGTGTGCAGTTCCTTGCACAAGTTATGACCTCAACACACATTTGCCATTGTGTATAATTTGTAAACTACATTTTGACGTTTGCGCCACATAATATGTGCATAGCTATCAGCTAATTGAAATCTGTTTGGCTTGCCTGACATTGTTGCTTTTGTTAACTATCAGTTATAGGTTTAGTGTCAATAGTCTATTTTCTTTGAACGCCACTCACCAGTTTCATTTTCAAACTGCAGTCACAGTAACGTTTATCTATTTTTGAGAAATTTGAACATGCTTTATAGTGCCACCCACTTAAGTTTTGACTGTCGCTAAACATGTACTGTAACAATTTACTGTAATATCATTTTTGCAGTTTTTTTTTTAATAACCCTGGGTTGTTTTATTTAGATCATTTCACATCAAGTACACATGGAGAGAAAAGCTGCAACTGAAAAACAACTTACTAACATCATACGGGATTCTGAACAACGTTGTGGGCCACGCATCAAGGAACAAGATTTAATTTAATCTGCATTTAAAGAGAGCAGGTGTGATTTGCATGTACTGTGTGTGGAAGCCATCATAGCAGTGTGTGTGTGGAGCGTACGTAATAGCAGCATGGAAGCGAAAAAGCGAGTGAGGACTGAGGGGGCGTAGAGGCAATCTAAGAGCAGCCAGGAGACATTGTGTGAGGGCTGTTAAGACCAGCAGAAAACAACTTCATGAATGGCACTGATTACTCTCTCTGTTTAACACACACCCAAACCTGATCATCCTGGGTTTTATTCAAACGCCAGTGAATTATTGATTGCCCTGCATGCTCATTACTGAACAGATCTGGGGCAAGAGAAAATCAAAGTTAGTAAGCAGCTGGCGGAGTGAGTGAGAGAAAGAAAGAAAGAAAGAAAGAGGACACAATGAGAGGAGGTCACTGCAAAGAGAAAGATAATTACAGTCAAGAAGAGGTTGTTCAGAATTGTACGGCGCTGGGGTCTTTAATTGGACTGAAAAAAGACAGCTATTCAATCTTTGCTTACACTATTAAAAGTATTCAATGAGTTTGTTCAGCTGTGCACACAAACAATATCAATTATTCCCACAGATGAGAGTTTAAAGATCTGGACCTGTAGGAAAAAATCTGGGATGATGAAAAAGCCACGTGCAGTTTTTTTTTAATGCTCCATGTGAACGTTGATGGTATACGATGTTGACCCTATGTGTGATCCTAAGGTAAAACTGAAACATTGGACTGATGGTGTTGACTGGGCATTTCAATCTACAGCTGGTTTCTAAGCGAGCCTCAGTTCTCTGATATAGTTGATGGGTGATGTGTTGTAGGTTAGGGTATGCTAGATCTGGCACCACTGAGACACAGTAAGTTGCTATCCACATTACGAGTGCAATTTAATTAAAAATGGAAATATCACCACAAAACCGTTTCCATTCCATTTGCTAAAAAACAAGACAAAATGGCCCCTTATGGGGAAATTGGTGCAAGTCGTAGCAACAGTGGCTCTTTATTAAATGCTATAAATTACTTGACGTTTTGTAACAATCTCTGCATTTCAGAATGACGAGAGCAATATGTTTCAGCAAATGATTCAGTCATTTGACTTTTTGGAAGCGTATTTACACAGATTTTCCACTGTATGGGCATGTTTTAAATCAAGTTAAATCACATTTTAACTGGAATGCTATACTGACATATACCTGTACATTCAAATGTTTATGGGCCACTCTACAGAATTGGTGCAAACTGCTGTCCGACAACCAAAAAAAAAAAATTAATACATTTAAAAAAGCATTTAAGTATTACAATTTTTGATGTTTACAAAGATCCGTCTATTATCTATTGAATCCCACAATACTATTTAAAATATGTTATTGGTTACTTTCAATTGGGAGGCGGCTTTCCCGAACCCTAACCCCTAAATTTCAACTTGTGAAATGATATTGAAATATTAAAAAAAATAAAAGAAAAAAAATAAATAATAAATTAATTGTTGTTTAAAAAAAAATATTTTTTTTTGTTTAAAATATATATATTTTTTCAAAATATATTTTTAAAATATAATTTTGTCATTTTCATGTCACTGTGTTTTACAGTATTTGTTTTAGTCCATTGGCTTAGACTGATTTTGACCACACCCCAACATTTTTGATCAGGAAATATTATTGTGTCCCTCTCTCTCATAGCCTCTCTTTCATTATAGATAGGTACCATCATTTTGAGGGAATTGTGTTCAAATATCTTAAAATCTGTGTGTAACTTTAAGGGACGTCACTACCAAGCACTTTTTTTGGGTGTAATTCCATAAAATGTTGTTTTATGTGTGTACAGCTGTTTAGATCTGTGCTACCAGTAACCATGTGCTGGTTATCATCTTTAGGCTCAAAAGTATCTACAATTATCACTACCGAAACAGTCATGACCGAAACATGCCATCATTGTTTCGGTAGTGACAAAAGGGAACACATTTTAACTAAATTTTTGTACAGTTATGCAATCATTAGTATATTAGTATAGTTAGTAGTGTATTATTATACAAGTTAAAATTATACAATGTGATGTGGTCGCTTCCTAAACATTACTGTCACAGAAAATATGCCGTCATCGCCGAAACATGGATGTTCTGTCTAAAATAAAGTATACTGAATTATAAACTTTATGCCAAATCTTATAAACCTGTGATTTTTTTATTTTTTTTTCAAATAGCCAAACATATATTTACAAGTTAGATGTAAACAAAATATTAGTTGTTCAATATTAAATTATTTAGTATTGTGTTTCGGTAGTGACAAATTTGCGAAGAGGAAAAATATTTCAAAATACGATATGATAATAAACTGCACAATTTCTAGAAATGTGCCTTGCATATTATACAATTTTAATACATACAAAAATTTGTGGAAGACGTTTCCAACTATTTAACCTATTATTTAGAATGACCCTTAAACCAACTTCATCCTCCTTAGTTCCTCCCCCAAATCTAAAAAGAAAAATAATAGAATGAGGACTGACAACAGAGATTGTCTTTTTTTTTAACTTTACTTAATTTTCGATGAAAGTAGTATTTGGCAGCTTTTCTATAATCCCAAGGTGAGATAATGAAAATCAAATGAAATTTTGCAAACTTCAGATCTACAGACATCTTTATTTTAATGAAAATCTTTTTCTTGTTTGCCAGTTGGAGGTCTCATTTTTCCAAGTATCGATAAAAAGGCACATGATTGCTCCACTACAGGCTTTTTACAGGCAGTCTTGACTGTATCTCAACCTGCGAGAGATGGTTATTGTGGATCCATGCGGATCCATTTTAAATGTGGCTGAAAAAAAAAATAGAAAATTATATTTCTGAGTTAGATGTCCTTGCTAGAAATATGTAATTTAATGTGTTTAAGGGTATTTAGATTAAGTGATTTTTTTATTAGTAACTTTCTGAGTGTGACTGATCATAGCAGAGCAGGTCAAAGATGGAGAAACACTTTTCATATCATATCAGCGAAATCTCAGCTCCACTTGACTGCTTTTAGCAGAAAAAAGTGATAAAGAATATCTTAGTACTATTTTTTTCTGGTAGATTTGGCCATGAATATAATCTTGCACAATTACTAAAAGAAAGGTTTTCATCTCACTCCTCATATGGAGACAAAAAAAAAAATCATTTCCTAAAAGACATCTTTGGGAATCAAGAAAAGACAATTTTACCGAATTAAAGGAGAACTCCGGCGCAAAATAATCATGTGGTCTAATAACACATTGGTCCTTAGTCAACCGTTCTCGAAAAAAGATTTTTTTTCATGATAATCGAATGTACAGAGTTTTATCTCTGAAAACTGTTTAGATTATAACACTAATATATGGGGGCATATAATAAGTAAAAAGAAATTGTTACAAGTCTCAAAATAGCCCCACACTAACACAGTAACATAATGAGGGTCCCTACAAGCAAAACGAAGCATTGAGAACTGTGTAAGTGTACAGACCGATTAATAAGAAGATACTTTATAAAGACAGTCCACTTTGTGTATACAGGCAGCAGCCATCAATGGAAAACAGTCTCGACAAGTCGAACCACGAACGACGTGCCAGGTCAGCTGAACTGTATGAACGTTGTTCGTGGTTCGACTTGTCGAGACTGTTTTCCAAGATGGCTTCTGCCTGTATACACAAAGTGGACTGTCTTTATAAAATTTCTCTAATTATCTTCCGGCTGAAAACTGTGCTAATTAGCAAATACTGAGAAGGACTTTTACTTTCTGAACGTGGACTTTAAAACTCTGGATAATTAGAGAAATGAAATTTCTCTAATTATCTTCCGGCTGAAAACTGTGCTAATTAGCAAATACTGAGAAGGACTTTTACTTTCTGAACCTGGACTTTAAACCTCTGGTCCTAACCGTAAGTAAGTAACCTAAGTAATCCCTAATATCAGATAGAAAGGATGGGTGAATAACTGATGTAGAAGCACCTGGTTTTAAGCCTAAATTTGATATAAACTCTAAATATGTTCCTTAAATTTGATTGGTTGGTTGGAATGTTCTTCCAGGGTCAACAAAGATGTTGATTCAGGAACATGTAGCTCTTGCTGAAATCAGGTTCTGCATTTCTCTTTTGCAGACCTCAGCATCCCAGAGCCCTTCACTGTTGCTCTGCCATAGGCCTGTCTCTACTGACGGCACTGGTCATTAAAGGAAGG